GCTGCCCTTTCCACCCACCAGACTAGATATTTTTGAAAGTAAGGCAGGAAATTTGCTACATCTCTTCAACACTGTGATTTGGATTCTTCGCTGCCTCTAAAGGGCCAGTCCTCACAGCTAATTTTCCTTATCCCCAGACCCCCTATACCTGGCAAAATTCTTACTCTATAGTCCAGTGGCCAGGTCCCCACATACCTCATGGTCAAGGCACATATGGCACCCACTGGACACATATCAAAGATGGAATTTCTGGATGATATGATAATTCCATTTTTAGTTTTTCTGAGGAGGTTTGTAAAACATTTCTTCCTTGTTTAAATTTTGCTAGAGGGTGTGTGTGCTCACCAAAGAGACAGAGAGAGAGAGAGAGAAAGTAAGAAAGTACTCCCTATGGAAAAATGATCATGCCACAATCCCTTCTCCTCTACTTCTCCTCTCAGAATTTGGGTAAGCATGCACATGCACCTGGTGTATATTTCAGGATCCCAGGTCTGGGACTTGAACTGCACAGTTGCCATTTGGGATCCAACCACCTTAACCATCACACTACCGGCAGGGCCTCAAGTATTCCTAAAGCATTATTTCTCTCTCCCCGTCTACTCCCCTGCCCCCCATTCTTCTCTCTCTCTCTCTTTCACACACACACACACACACACACACACATTATATATAGCTTGCAAAAACATAGCTACTTTTCTGAAGATACAGTCCAAGTTTTCTGCCTTCTTTGATATCGCTGCCAACACTGCCCTGTTGAGAAGCTCTCTCTGTTCTTGCTTTCTATTGAATGGATTACTGGTTGCATTTCAAGCATCCACTGTTGATCAGCTAATCCAGATTAATGTGGCCTGTGACAAGAGCAAACACAATACAGCGATCTCCCACATACCCTGGAATGAGCAGAGCCTTGCAAGTCCAGAGGCTGACGAAGAAACAAAGATACTCCCCACCTCCCCGGAATTCACAGGATTCACTTCAAACTTGAAAGAAATATTTACCATGTTAACATGGTTTCTAGGGCTCCAGATAGCACTGAATGCACATACCACACCTATTTCACCTAAACTCACTGAAGTTCTAGGAGATCCCTACCTCCTGAAGAGGTGGTTGGTGAAGAATCCAAAACAAAACTCAGAAGTCACTGCTCATAAATAAGGCTAGTAACAATGTTTCAGAAATTAATGCTATCATCTGAGCTTTAAAAGAACGTGCTCCTCAGGTCCTAGCCACATAAACAAGGTACACTAAAGGGGAAGCTGTTTTTGGAGGGCTGCTCTGCTCTTGTAAGCCAAGACACGGAAAAAGAAGGTCTTGGAAGGGCTAGGATAGGTGTTAGCCTGAGGGTTGCTCATGAAGACAACAGTCCATAGGAGGAGGACTTGAATCTGCCTGGTGGACACTGTGCTCTAGGTCACACTGTACCCCTTCTCTGGGTTGCAGGACCCCTGTTTCAGGGGGGCATCCAGTCCTTCCCAAGGGTACCCATACGCTTTGGGAACATGGAGCCTGGTAACTTGTCTTCAGGGACTGGTAAGGGAAAAGACACAGACAGAACTTTGCACAGCCAGACTAAAGCCCATGTGTTTTCATTAGTGGAGAGAAAGTCAAGCCCTTCTCTCCTGGGAGGGAAAGGAAGTACATAGCCTGGAGAGGCCAGCCTGCTAAAAGAGGAACCAACAGCCTGGAGGAACGAATGTTGAAAATGAGAGTGAGGAACTGAGTGTTTGCCATATTGTTAGAGCCCCTGGCCCAAGGCTCACCCAAACCCAGAGTTCTTGTGGTCTTTTACATCTTCCAAGCAGACTTATTTCTTTTCTTATTGAAGCCAGTTAAAGTTAGGTTTTCTGTAATTCAAACCTGAAACCTCTTAACTTACAAAATAATCTTAGTAGGGAAACTTCCAAAAGGCAGAAAAGAGACCGATTCCTATTGCAAGCTCAAGAAGCCCAGCTAGTGGTCCAAGTTCCTCAAAGAAGGAAACAATTGGAGAATTGCAAAGCAAGTGGGCTCAGGTGATTAGGGAATCAGTGCTGAAGTCACAGGCAGGCTGCAGGAACTTTGCTTTATGCAGTTCTGGTATGGCCTGCCAGGCTCAGGGTAGGCCTTTGAAGGAGCCATACCAGGGCGAACACAGCCTTTGTGAGGTGTGGAGCTCATGCTCAGACATGTACTCACCTGTATTTACATGAGGGATGAGTCACCTCCTGATGCATGCCAGAGATGACAGGAGACCATGCTGACAGTGATCAAAGTTCAGGCAAGAGACACAGTGAGGCAAATGTGCAGGTATGTGCATCCTGAGAGCTCTGAGGAGGGGGATTGGAGTGTCACCTGCCAGTCCCTAGGCAGTTAGAACACTGGTGGCCCCTTACGAACTGGGGGAAGAGCTTTGACTTGTTTGACATAAGTTTGTTGGACTGGGAGGGCGTGCATAAAAGGAATAAACTGAATAGAGGAATAGTGGTCAAACTTGAGCTAAAATAAATGGCACAAAGGCTTATGCCACGTGAGCCTTCCCAGGAAAGGGTGCTGGACCTGACAGGTTAAGTTACAGTTGAAGTCTATGAGATATGATCACAGTACTGCCACCAAACAGCTAGGTCGGCTGTTCCCAGGGTGACACACCCCATCTTCTTAACCTACAACTCTGGAAAGTGACAGGAGACAAGGGAAGAGTCCTCGCCTTACCACTTCAATTTAACCAGTTTGGAAGTGTTCCAGTCTGGCAACGACTCCAATTAGGTCGTGTTCTAGCATGCAATACTCTAGGAAGGTGAAGGGGAGGCGAACACCAAAGGAGGCGAAGAAAGCTCTAGGTACAGAAGCCCAGCAGTTACACAGTAAGGAAAGCAACTACTTCAAAGAATTGCCATGATTTTGCTTATTTCCATATGTAATGACTAAGTCCAAATATTTCTGATGATTATAAATATACTTTATGACATTTCCTATAATATAGGTTTATTGTAATATTACTACTAATTGTTCTATGCACCTGACACTTTCCTATTTGACATGTATTATCTATTTTATTCCTACAACAACCCTATAAAGAATGTAAATATATATGCATGTTTATTATTTCCGTTTCAATAGAGAAACCCAAGAAATGGAGAAATTAAGAAACTGGCCATCCCTCTAGTAAAGAGCCAAGCTTTATAAACTGCACACCATAGGACCAAGAAGGACAGCTTGGGGCAATGCCATCCTTTCTGTAGTACGCTCTCCACTACCAAGGGGAACGGTCATCAACAGTTTAAAAGGGAATTGTTTAAATAATTCTCACAAGCAAACAAAAGGAAAAGGGCATCCCGTTTTCTATACTACCTGGATGAAATATGCAAGTTGAACACTCACAGCAATACTAATACTGTTTCACATTTTTAAAATGTACTTCTTCCATGAGAGATGGAGAAACAGAGAGAGACGTACTCCCAATAGGGTTTCATGCTGTGAGCCTACCATGCCCCCCACCATTCTCCCAGCTCCCCTAACCCCCCTAGTCCCCCCCCACCCCCACACACACTCCGCCCAGCAGGATTACGGGCACAGTGAGATCTCAGTGCACAAACCCAGGACACTCTGAGCATCTCTGAGCACTGTTTCTGCTGTGCCACTACAGCTAGCCTAATATTATTTTAGAAGCTTTCTACAACTCTAGAATACAATAGATGCAGATAACTGCAAAGAGAATTATCTAGATGAGCACATTACTTCAGCAAATTCTTATAAGGTAACTATCCTTGTAAAAACCATCCACATCGAGAAGCAAAAATTGGGTCCCCATTCAAGCCTTCCCTGTGTAACAGCCAACCACCATCCGCCTTCACCCAGCAACACTGGCCTATGTGACTTCCCTTCCTTGCACTTTTTCAAAGCTTTATCAAACCGCCGTGCATTCTAAACACCCTCGTTGAATGTTGTCTTTTTTTCTGTTATATCTATTAAGTTTATTTTAATCTATGACTTCTCCCTTCATCCCTTCAGTCCTTTATTTCTTTGTGGAAATGACTTTTGAAGAAACCAAGCACGTAAACCTGTGAAGTGGCACAGTTCCCTATATAGCCTGGATTGCAGCAAAGTGAATATTAGAACTAGTTAGTAGGAGTCAAGTCGTAAGAGGGCAGCAAGAAGACTCAAATGCAAACACCTGGTCTGCCAAATTGACAAGCATATTACAATGTGGTTCCTTCAGCAAGGACCAGGGACTTTGAAAGTAAATAAATAGGTAAATAAAAACCCTGATACAATTGCTTTGAGGTAATTTGTTTCTTGCTGGTTTATGCATCCAATGAGAAAATCTGGTAAAGGGACAATGCCTTATTGGACAGATAAGGAAGGCAAAAAGTGAGAGTATAAACAAAATAAAACAAAGACTTTCCTTAGGGAGGAAAGGGAAAGGACCAGAAAGCTCTACCCGGTCCTTTGACTGTTTGAAACGTATCCACTTTTCTTTCTCTAAGAGAGTCATAGGCAGCTACCAGCAGAAGAGATAGATGGTAGCGGATAAACTAAGTAAACAGGCACTGTACAACCCACTGATTTTTCCCGAGTACGGCAAGACAAGTTGCACTCCTGTCCCCGCACATTTACTTCTACCACTACATTCCTTTCAAGCCTCCGTTTCTAGCAATGGCCTTCAGGCACAAAATAAACATAGCTTTGCAGTTGAACCTCCTTGTAGTCAGACTGTGTGGCAAGGTACTCAACACCAGTTTCCTTACGTGAACAGTGAGGATAATATGTGCCTTACGAAGTCGTTGGGGGCTCAAATAGGATAATAGCTAAAAAGTGTCACATAGTAAATGCATAAGGAATGCCAGTCTCTGCACCGCGCCTGTTCCCTGCCAAGTTGTATCCATTGTCTTTTAAATATGTTGACTTGTAAAAATTCAAGCTATTGAAAATCAAAAGTTGAAATGAAGCACTTAAAAAATTCTGAATTTTGGGATCAGTAGATGGCATAATGGTTACATTGCTGGACTCTGACGTAGTTGACCATAGTTCGAGTTGCGAACCCAGTGGCTTGAAACTCACATTGGGCATGTGTGAGTGCATGGCTAAAGTCCCAAGAGGAGAATGGAGGAGAAGGGATGGCACTGTGGTCATCCCCCAGGGGGTAGTTTATTACTTTCTATCTCTCTGTCCCTGTCTCTCTGCCAAGCACACATGCCCTATTAGCAAAAATCTCTCTAAAAAAATTGAATTTTCATTTCACCCTGTGGAGAATCATGCTTTCTCACAACATCCTGAGGAATTCAGGTATTTAACAATATGCAAAACTTAAAGAACCAACACCAAAAACCTTCTTTTACAATCGTCCCTTCGTTTTTCCTCCGCTGTACATTTCCTCTCTAACCTTTCTGGTTTAGCCCTAATTTATTCAACCACATGGCAAAATGGGGCCTGGTGAGCTTTAGTCCAACTCTAACTTCACTGTGAGGAAACTGAGGCACAGAGAAATTAAATAAATTGCTCAAGTACGCTCTAACAGTTAAGACAAAACAACAGCCTCTAACACAGGTTGAAAGTGAAATGCCTGGGAACCAGCAGTTAGCGTAATGGCTATGTCGCTGGACTCCCACGTAGTCAACCGTGGTTTGCCTCCTGGACCTGGTGGCTTAAAACTCATGCCGGCGCGTGTGCGTGCGTGCCCAAGATCCCAAGAGGAGAATGGAGAAGGGACTGCGGCGTGGCCACCCCCCCTGGGTGGTGATTTCTCGCTTTCTATCTCTCTGTCTCGCTGTCTGGCGAGCGCACGTACGTGCCATATGGAAAAAAAAAAAAAAAAGCCTCTCCTAAAAAACTTCAACGGCTCCACGTTGTCTTTCGAGATAACTTCTTCACTAGTTCTTCAAGATAATCCATGACTATGTCCAAGACCCCACACCATATTTCAGCCCCACAGCCAGTCTCCATCTTCCATGGCAATCAGAATGACCACTGACTTGTACTTTTAAGAACAAAAATGCCCAGAGAAGCACCTGCCCAGGCCACAGAACAACTGCTCCTTGGTCTCCAAGTTCTTCCCTTTCCTGGGATGCTCTCCATCTTGTACTCCTATCAGAGAAACTCTATCCATCCTTAAGTGCAGCTCAAATACCATCGTTCCACAAAACATCCCTGATAGCCCTGCTGAAAGACACCTTGCTCTGGACTTCCAGTGGACTTTATCTCACTCCTGCGACACTTACCACATACTGCCATATTTGGAACTACCTACCTACCTATTTTCTTGGGAAAATAGCTAATCTTCCCAAACACCTAGTAACACTCCCGGAAGGGTTTGCATCTTAGATTATAGTGCTATCCCTCACGGTGTCCTGTACACAGAGGGGGCTCAGAAAACATCTTAGGAACATTATCCTTTTGTACCGAAAATGGATCAAATGTAAAGAAAATATCTTTGCAGGCTGTGTCACCTCTCTACTTCTGTAGGCAAGGCTTTCCACCAAGGAGGCAGGCTCCTAACTAGTACAAAAGGGCAAAGGCCTCACCTCCCTAGGTCCTCCCCACATCTTCCCCACTGAAATTCTACTTCCAACTTGCTTTTAGATTTCTTCTCCCAGAAGTACTCACACCTTTGCCTTAGGCGATGTTGGTTCTAAGTGGCCACTGTTAAATATTCCTCTACTACAAGAAAGCCTTCAGAGAAGTCAGTCTTTTTCTAGGGAGTGAGGTTAATTGATCAGATCTGATGGTAATCACTTGGAAAGGCAGGAGAGCTAGGCTATTAGCAGATGTTGTCCAAATATTTCCATTGTGATAAAACTGATGGAAGCAACCCAATGGGCATCATTAAACCCTGACTAGCTAACAGTCATGGCTAATTTTGATCATGGGAGTCACACACCAATCTCACAATCTCTTTGCTTTTCTGAAGCTACCCCTATTTTTAACCATTTCAATTCAGATAGTATCAAAAAAGAAAAAAGAAAAAGAAAATTAGACTCTACTTTTCCTGGCATAGCCAACGCTAGAGGCTCTTCATAAAATGTTGAATGAACATCATTTTTACTTTTGTTTAAAACAGACGCAATTACAGAAAAGATAAAATACTACGTAATCTTATAAGATGGCCTAAATTTGCACAATTAGTGGGGAAAGTTGATGGAGTCTTATCTCAAACCAGTAATAGTTTAGATGTCAGCTCAGTA